GAAACTTCATTAAAATAAATATATGCGGGCAAAGTCGCGGGAAACAGGGAGCTAGTAATAAATAATTAAAGAGTGAAAGTCAAATTCCAAAAATAACTGTTGGAAGACTATAATCCCATCAAGCACTAGATTATTCGGAAAACAAAATCTTACTTGTTCTAAAAAATCCATCCCAGCTTTATTTTTTACAGAATAAGGGTGACAAATGAGCACACAGTCCACCTGATGGTAAGTGGTTGCTGTGGCCCATAGACATATACATCTATTCTCGATTACAAATCAAAACGCAGATACGTTGTCACCCGTGTGGACTAAGATGGAATACCTTGTTTCCAGTAAAAAGAATCTCCCGTTCTCTACACTCACTACACGAAACACACCTATGTTAAGCTACAAATTTACGCTGATATTCTGTGAGAGCGTGGTTCTGCCCTGGTCGAGCCGACTTTACAACCATAATACACGATCCTGACATACCTTTCTCGTCTCATCCACATCAATATACGTAGACATGCATGCTCAGCAGTTAAGGGTACTATTTGATCGATAAACTTCAGTGTAAGGCATTCATTGTTGGCTCTTCCAGTTACTTCTGCAACATGAAAATTTCTTTGTCACTCTTTCCTCATTCATTCTTTCTACATGACCAAGCCACAGAAGCATTCCTTTTTTAATTCTGATCACAACATAATCTTGCAAACCACGCTTTTCTCTTATCACACAATTTCATCACCCTGTCATTCAGATTCAGCCCTAACATACTCCTCAATGATTGCATACCTACAGTTATTCTACTCTCATGTTTCTTCTGCTACACCCAATTTTCACTACCATACATTAAGATCCTTTGATACATTCCGATATCCCACAAAAGATTTTTCCGTGATTGTTGGAAATATCAAGGGTTTACTGACTACTGAACTTCTGAGGGGAGATTTCATGGCTTGAGTAAGTATTATATTGATGCTCACAAGCAAAGTAAAAAAAAAAACATCACAGATGACAACACATGTTTAGTGTTCTATGTTAGTAGTTAGTTCAAGGTGTCCATGGACTGCAGTAGCCACTTACCATACATCAAGTGAACTGTAAGTTCGTTTCAATTTTATTAAAGAATGGTGATATCTAAATGATAGATGACACAATTGCGGGTGTAAACCCAAATGCCCCGTTTCTGGTAGTGGTACTCTAAACAGGGAGAATACTACTTACAACAAACGTTTACGCTATGTCTTACCAGAACTAAAATAACCTGACTGGTGACATCAATATGTTTCGAGTAGAAGCGGTGTAAGAATATCTACTATCTACTACCCCATACCGTCCCGTGGGTGTCGACAAAGATACAAGACATGGGCAGCAGTATATTCTTATAAGAATTAAAACATTAAAGAACATGCCACCCGCCAGAGTAGCTTCTATTCCAATATCCCTCCTATGGAGCAATCTATAGGGGAGGTCTGTGTTTAACTGTGGACTTTATAGGCTGTGATGGATGGATGGATGGTGAAATCAGTATAGCTTCCAATCATCATTATAGCCCTTTACAAGTCCACTGCAGAACTTAGACCTCCCCCAAGGAACACCACAAAGCAAAACCCTGATTCGAATCCACCGACCTCCTGCACATCTTACCAGGTCGTTGATCCATCTAGTGAGAAGCCGTGCTACACTTCACTTATCGGTACGAGGTTGTCAATCGAGGACCTTTCTTCTCCACTGGTTGTAGGATTTTCGAGCGATGTTAATTACTCTGGTTCTTCTGCGGATATCTTCATTTGTCAGTCTTTCACGCAGTCTTTCGAGCATAGCCTTCTCTGTAGCTCACTGAACAACCTAGAGTTTCCTCATACGGCTACATAAAAGCCAACAGTCAGCCACACTTACTTGCATAATCTCATGAACTTTATTTTGTTTTTAATAAACCAGGTCTTTAAATTCAATTACGTCGCTCGTCAAGCTCCAAAAGCCGCTCATAAAGAAGACAATATATAGGTCTATTAAAACGTTTACACGCTTCGGGAAACTCATTAATACTTTTAAAACACTCTCAGAAATCTCGTTAGCGATGACAAAAGGCAACGTTAATTTCGCAAGCGAATATTATAATGATATAAAAGCTTGATAGGGTGTAAGACGAGGTAATAATTTCTGATCTAAGAGAATATTTGCATGTGGTACACTTGTTTAATCAGAAATTGGTGCAGGAGGTAGAGCTAATGGTTGGCTCGACCGTAGAAGTACCACACTCTCGCAGAATACCAGCGTAGTATAGCTGCTAAATGATGCTGTTTTTTGTAAGGCGAGTGTAAAGAACCAGAACCATCTTAGTCCTCAGGGGCTACAAATGTATTTTGATTCTTAATGGAGAATGATGTGACAGCATCCACTTACCATCAGGTAGACTGTGTGCTCGTTTGTCATCCTTATTCTATAAAAAAAAACTGGGTTAGAATTCGCACAATACGATTTTTTTTATTTTAATAATTAGTTGTTTCTCGAGTTTCGGTTTCATGGATTTTAATATTTTTTTCGCGGAACCCTCATTATTTTTCTAAAATAAAAGATACTCTTTATAACTTCAGCTATACGACAATGAAAGTCCCGTCGAAATCGGTATAGCCATTTCGGAGATAAGTTGGAACAAACAGACAGACAGGCAAAAATTAAAAACAAAAGAAGGTTTTTTATTGTAAGTAGCGTATATAATTTCATGTGCATTTAATTAAAAAAAACTGTTATTTTGACACTATGAACAGACTTCAATTTTATTTATTTGTATAGATAATCAAAGATTTGACGAGTCACAAGAGGCCGTAATTGCTTGCAACCAGCACGTGAAAAGCATTACCTCAGCCTCAGACCAATGGAGCTTTTATTTTAAAAAATGATTTGAACGAACGAAAAAGTGTTTGACGTGTAAAAGAGAATACTTTGAAAAGCAGTTAATATTATTTTACATATAAATTGTTTCATTTATGAGTTACGCAATTTTAGTTTACTCCACGTATAATAAAGCATTAGGAAATTTTCATAGTTATGTTTAGAATCCGATTATTTAACACTTTATCTGGTCATCATAGAGTTTTCATCATCATTTTATTATGTTATCACACAACATCCAATACCAACACAATATATATACGATTTGCTTACCATAAATAATACCTGCTTGCAAAATTGTTTTTTCGCAGTATATACTACGCCTATATATTACTACCACCACAGTTGCGTCGAAATGGAATCTATCACCCTACTTCGACCCGTCGGTAAAAAGGCCATAAAACGCTTAAAAGTACTTATGGTCCATAAAAGATGGTGCTATAATCATTTAGTTTACATCGTCAGACTAGCAACAGCAGCGTCAGAAGTAGGAGACATTTGACACTGAGATTTTCAGATAACCAGCTAAACGGGACGGTCATCTTCTTGAATAGATAGTCATTTTTTTCTTTATCAATGATAAAGAACGGAAAGTCATTTTTAGGGTTCCGTACCTCAAAAGGAAAAAACGGAACCCTTATAGGATCACTTTGTTGTCCGTCTGTCTATCTGTCTGTCTTTCAAGACTCTTTTTCTCAGAAACGCGTAGAGATATCAAGCTGAAATTCATATCAAATACTCAAGTCTGTCCCTTGGCGCTGTGAAAAAATCAAACTTCTAAGCCAACGAAATCAAAAGATAGAGCCGTTTATGCCGCAAATTTTCGACATTCGCAAGGGAATCAAAACCTACAGGGTACTTCCCATGAACTCAGAATCTTAAAATTTGGTACGAAGCAACGTATTATAGCACAGATAAAGGAAAAATTGCGAAAAGCATAAAATTTTAGTTACATCATACGATTAAAATATTTTTAATAATTTAAAACTTGTATACCTACAGATTGTTTCGGAACCCTCGGTGCGCGAGTCCGACTCGCACTTGGCCGGTTTTATTTTCTTTATCAATGATAAAGAAAAAAATTACTATCTCGGAAAAAACCTTCGTCCTGGGAAGAACATGCAAAAAACCAAGCTGGGCATTTACTGACTAATAACCGACTGCATTTACTGACTAATAACCTGCTGGCTAGATGGTAGAACCTCATTCTGCCTAAGATACGCTCTTAGGCAGAATGAGGGTAGGTAAGAAATTAGGGTAGGTAGTAAACTCCTAGCTATTTCTGTCGCTAAATAGCAGTGACTGCCCTGCAGTTATCTGGACTGAAGGATATAGACAGCTGGTATAATTAGAAGCTGATATCATCGAGTAAATACCTGCAGATTTCCTTGTTTGAAGTTGACACCTGCGGTCCATGAGCAAAAGTGACCGTTTACCATCAGGTCGTTCGTTTGTGACTTCAGTTTTATAAAAAAAAGATAACTGGATAGGCCCAGGTCTAATAGTGGACTTTTAAGTAAATACTAAGCAGTATGCCGCAATGATGGAATTCATTATCATTACCATCATTACGGCCCTTCACAAGTCCACTGCTGAACATAGGCCTCCCCCAAGGAATGCCACAAAGCACGATCCTGAGCCACATATATCCATCGACTTTTTGCATGTCTTTTCTTACCAGGTCGTTATTCCTACTGGGGGGAGGGGGGAGGTTGCCCTACATTCTGCCTACCGGTACGAGGCTGCCACTCGAGAACCTTTTTTCTCCATCGGTTGTCGGTTCTTAGAGCTATATGGCCGGCCCATTGCAACTTCAGCTTACTAATCCGTTGGGCTATGTCGGTCACTCTGGTTCTACTGCGAATATCCACATTTTTAAGTTTATCACGCAAAGAAACCCCGAGCCTAGCACTCTCCATAGCTCGCTGTGTGACCTTGAGCGTCCCCATATGGCCAGCAGTGAAGGACCACGTCTCAGATCCATAAGTCATCACTGGCAACACGCGCTGGTTGTACAGTCTCGTTTTCAAGTTTTGAGGTATACTAGTATATGGAATTCGACTATTTCTGATCTCCATTAGGTGCTGCTAATTCTGCAATAAGAGAAGGGAACTTACAATCATAGGCTCGGGAGGTGAATCTAGGAACGTGATCTCAGACTCTTCTCCCGCTAGCAGTACGCACACTGATCTCTCTCCTGATTCGTCATCTGCGGGTAGAAATAACCAAGTTAAAATCATGATTTTTAAGTTAGAATCTGTATATTACCTAAATGTATTTGAAGATATAAAGTTCTTAATTTAGTTTCTTTTTAAGCGTAAAAGCAAGTCTGCTGCGATTACACGCTGCAGACTTGCTTGCCCAAATGCAGGACGAATGGGTTGTCTCGACCGGGGAATGACCATTGTTATAGATATAAAAGTAAAGGAAATAATAGTTAGCAAAATGATAATAGTAGACAAAACCGTAGTAAATTACCAATTGGCACAGGAATCAAGCAAACAGTTAACCGCACTTTAACAGCACTTAATAATTCGGCGCCAGATCACAGGTGTATTCACAGATATAATACATACTACGTACGGCCGACGCTGAAATTGTGATGTTCCTTAGTCATCACAAAAGTGGGAAAAATTAACTACCAATAAAAATTAGAAACCGACTTTAAATTACTAAAAAGAATAAAATAATTTCATATTCTTAAGTCGAAGCTTTCTTGCCAACGAGGCAACCCCTGGCATCTTGCACATTCGTTGACAACTAGACTGCGTTCTGAGTATTGGAGTGATGTGGCGGCGCTGTCGACGCGCTATAAGCAAAACTCACCGAAGCCTAAATCGTGCTATCGAAGTTAGGAAGTTACCACGCTATATATATATTTACATCAGATCCGGAGCATTGGTTGCCGCCCGGGCCGATCACCTTACCCGGCGGAAGATCTCCTTTTGTTCTTTCACGGCAAAGGACCGTCTTCAAAATGTGAATTAATTTTATTCTATTAAGTTCTTTAAAGAGGCCTTTTTCTTTTTTATTAAAAGTTAATTTTCTTTAACGTTTAGTAGTTACTTCTTCGTTTTAGATTGAAACATAGACCGATGGAGTAAGCTTAATTTTTGAATGAAACATTGTTTGAAAATAAACCTACTTACCAATGCTGGTATCATATGCGTGCAAATATTCGGACGTCATGAATTGCCCTATAAGACTTGATTTGCCCACGCCTGGAGCTCCCAGAACCAGCACTCGGTACGTGCTGAGACCAGCTGAAGAATCCCTGTTCAAAAATTGACAAATTATTAGAAAAGTTTAGCATAGTTACTACGGCCATGGGGTTGTTATAAACTAATTTGCTTAATTCCGCGTAAAGAAAGAAAATGATGTGTCCTGCCCTATTTTAAGGGGACCTCCCACCCTCCCTCAATCGCGCGCACTATACCCGTCGCCGTCAATCCCAGCACTACCACCCCCAGTAAGTAAGTAAGCCTCCTCTTAGCGGCCAGCCTCCGCAGTGTCTACTTCACCTGACGATGCCTCGTGTAGAGGTGAAACACGTGTCGTATTTTCGAGAGTGGTGTGTCGTGCCTAGTGTGCTGGTGCTGGTGCTAGTGCTGGGGGTGGTAGTGCTGGGATTGACGGCGACAGGTATAGTGCGCGCGATTGAAGGAGGGTGGGTCGTCCCCTTAAAACTGGGCAGGACACATCATTTTCTTTCTTTACGCGGAATTAAGCAAATTAGTTTATAACAACCCCATTATAATGGACTTCCGCAAAGTAACGCCTGATTCTATCAATTATCGTTACGGTCGTCACGTCCCGTTACGGAAGAGGTGTGAAAGGTTGTGAATTGTTTGATTTTCAATTACCCTTCTGCATTTGCCAAACGTGGCAACTAATTCAAATTCAAAATATTTATTGTAAGTTAAGTTGTTATACATGTAACTATTGCTGTTACAGTCTTTTAAAGTCCACCGCTGGCATAGTCCTCTCCAATAGATTGTCTCATAGGGGAGATTTTTACCATAGTAGCCTCGCTTAGCAAGCGGGTTGTACGTGGTAGAGCCATGCTGCAGCTATGTTAGTAGTATAGTTGTAGCACGAATGGGTCGGCTCGACCGGGAAAGGACCACGCTCTCACAGAATATCAGCGTAAAATAACAGCTTAAGGCTGCTGTGTTTCGTACGGTGAGTGTAGAGAACCGAAGACCCTTTTTACTGGAAATGAGGCATTTCATCTTAGTTCTCACAGGTGATAACGCATTTGCATTTTGATTCGTAGTCGAGGATAGATATCGATGTCTATGGGCCACAGCAACTACTTAATATTAGGTGGACTGCGTGCCCGTTTGTCACCCTTATCCTATAAAAACATATTTTTTATTTGTAGTCGTTATTGGGATGACTCTGCTGCTCATCTTCTTATCTGTTTCCATGGGATGACATGGAGTAGTGGATATTCTTACACTATGAGGCAATATATGGGGTAGGCCTATGTCTAGCATTGGGCTATTGATAGACTGTAATGCTAGCGGTAAAAATACATCACCTGGACGAAGCCAAAGAGCAAGGTGCGGAAGCTCTGGTCACAGCTTCGGTGCTGGAAGCACTCGACGCCACCGACGTGTTAGACCGCGACCGTCTGGAGCGTAGGGAATCTCCTCGATTGACGACTCCCTTGCCTGCCAAAACGTTTTATGTTAGACTAATTTAAAAAAAATTGTTGGTGGTAGTTTTTGGACAGTTATATAACATTCTGGCATGTGTAAATCTGTTCTAATCTTATATGTTAGTAAGGATTAAATGTCTGACTACTCCATTGCCTTCCGGAAAAGATTCGTGTTAGACAAATTAAAAAAAAAACATTTGTGCAGTTTACACACGGTAGAAATGAAATCTTTAGAAAAAGGAGACCAAGACAAGAGAGAACTCTTGTGTAATGTATAATATTTCATTCCATGGCAGGCTAAATCCTATAGATGTATGTTTGTCTCTTTTTTCGGATACCTATTTGTTTCATCGAATTTCAAATCACGATTCTAAAGAAAATTTCACTTTAGAAAATAGTGGGTGAACGATATATATATATATATATATATATATATATATATATATATATATATATATATATATATATATATATATGTGTATATATCATTCTGGCATGTCTAAATATATTCGGATCTAATAATGTCAGTAGTAAGAATAAGGTTTTACGCGTGAATTTCAGAAATATACTCGAAATGTTTTAATATGATGCAAACGATAAGGTGGGACGAACAGCTATCTATGTGTAAAGGTGTAGTTTTGACGCCATTAATTTGCTTTAGTAGTTTTAATGTTGAATTTATTCGGGCTGGGAAAGTAAAGTAATTCATGAATAAAAGCTTGTAGAAATTAGAACGTTTTTGCGTTTTAAATAAATCTAAAATATAAATGTAATATTAGTTTCTATCGATGTACCAACTTACATACAAAGCGTCACGCCTATATTCCTATTTATTTTTTTATTATATATTTCCACGCTGAAGGGGTAGGCAGAGTACTAACATTGACATTTCGAAGCGACAGTAGCCTAATACGGGCCGCGAACTTAAAATGTGGTGGGTTCGAATTCGCCATTCTAGAGCAAGATCTCAGGGCCATCAGACGTCACTTATTTTATGACGAACGAAATATGTAAGATTGAGTAGTGTTATTATGTACTATGATCGCATGTTTACCTGCTAGCTTGGTCAGACAGCCATATTCCAAGTATCAGGTAATTAAGGTATGTAAAAACATTACTTACCTCACGTTAATTCTCAATTTTTCGCAAATTTCGTATACGTAAAAATCAGCTGGGAGAATTAACTAGATATTTGGGAAATGACCCTCTAGCCAAGCTAGCTGGCAGGCATGCGATTATAGTAAATACAACACTACTCAATCTTACACATTTCGTTCGTCAGGAAATAAGTGACTTCTGGTGATGCTCTATATTCTCTTGGACTATTCAATTACTATCGTAAAACCACTTCTAACACAAGCTTTCAGCTGACCGGAAGTGATTAATGAGAATATTAGCAATGTTAACAGCATTGCTAGTTTTAAAAAAACAACAGCGAGTTACTAGGACTGTGTTTAGCGCACAATAACGCTTAGAACAAACATAAATTAAAATTTTAAAAACCTCCCGAAACTAAAAGAGCTGACAACCTGCAAATGGTTGAACAGACTTTCTTGAAATCTAGCTAATAACACTCTCGATTAAGACACGTTCCAAACGAAAAAAATAATTAATCAAAATCGGTTCATCCGTTCAGGAGCTATGACGCCATAGACAGACACACAGACACACAGATACACACTACGAAAATATTACACCCCTTTGTTTACGTTGGGGGTTAAAATATGAGTATAGAACAAAAATTTTGTAAGAAGTGATAGGTATGCCCATCGTCTACACAAATACATACCCAATATCCTATTAGTCACATATATCGACATGCTGTGCAAGTTACACATTTGGCACATTTCTTTTTGTTATAAATCCCACATAAACTTGGCGTCTATAAGTGCCAGACAAACATGGTATCATTTACATACATACATATAATCACACCTCTTTCCCGTAGGGGTAGGCAGAGACCATTTCTTTCCACTTGCTACGATCCTTACATACTTGTTTCGCTTCGTCCACTTTCATTATTCTCTTCATACATGCTCTACGGTTTAGGGTACTCTTGACCTGGCCTTTTCATTCCTGGTATCATTTTACGATGTATAAAAGTTTTTATTAGCAATTTTACATTTATTAATAGAGCCATTCTGCAGCTAGAATTGCAGTACGAATGGGTCGGCTCGACCGAAAAAAGATCACGCTCTCACAGAAGATCTGCGTGAAATAGCAGCTTAATGCCGCTGTGTTACGTATGGTGAGTGTAGAGAACTGGACTCTCTTTTTACTGGAAACGAGGCATTGTATCTTCGTCCTCAGTAGTGACAACGCATTTGCATTTTGATTGTTACTCGAAGATAAATGTAGAAGTCCATAAGCCACAGCATTCACTCACCATCAGGTGGACCGAGACCACGTTAGTCACCCTTATTCTAAAAAAAACTATGAATAGCCCTTCCTTCGTTTTTGAATTCGGTTTTTTTTATGAAGTTTTTTCATCTTAGATGACTTGATCCTCACACTTCATCATCATCATCATTACAGGCCTTCACAAGTCCACTGCTGAACATAGGCCTCCCCCAAGGAATGCCACAAAGCACGGTCCTGAGCCACCTGCATTCCTTCGACTTCCTGCATGTCTTACCAGGTCGTCGCTCCATCTAGTCGCCTACCAGTACGAGCTGCCACTCTAGAACCTTTTTTTCCCAATCGGTTGTCGGTTCTACGAGCTATATGGCCGGCCCATTATGTAGTTTGTTACATACCTTGAGTTACATAATTACAAGCGATTTAACTATTTAGTTTACCTAACATAATAAATCTTTCAACCAAACAGGACTCATAATCATAAAAAACGTTTTGACTGTTCCAGTAAGGCGTAAGTGCGACTGTTGAACATGTGGTCCTTGATTTGAATTCTAAGTCGGACCAAAATTTGTTACTGTTTTTTTTTATAAAGTTGGTAAAAAAATACTGCGCGTACATCCGCCCGTTAAAATAAAATGATATGTCTACCTTTGAAGAGCACCTCCCGCCCTCCCTCAATTGCGTGCACTATTTCCGTCACCACTAATTCCAACACCATTTCTGCCACCACCACTACATTAGGAAAGACACACCACTGAAATGACAATACCTATGTTTTTTATAATGTTTTTTTTGTCAAGAAATTTGTCCGAGTTTTTGCGGTGATACACTCCCGTGCCTTGAAAAGCACATTTATAAAGTCCTTGGTTCTAGAACTGATATTTCTCCGGTCCTAATGGACTGTATGGAGGGGACAGAGAGTGCACCTGTGCTTATGCACACACTTGTGCACTATAATCCAGTCCTACGCAGATAGCTCTATATAGATTAGTCACCCTACACGAAATTCCGTCTGTGAGCCTCAGCACATTTTGGGCTCGTTTTTGTTTTAATGGGTTAATTATATAAGCAATTTAAATCAATCAAACCATACCAGTAATGCTAAAATGTCGAAGTCTGTAATACTCCTCCTCCACGCCAGTGTTGGGCATGGACGCGACACGGGCTCGCTGCTGAGGAAGCCCAAGCAGCTGCCTCTCGCCAGTCCTCGAACGGGCTGCCTTCACTGACTGCGAGCGGGAATGATGGGGACTGCCGTACCTGTCAACAAAGATGTTGTACATTTTTTTCCTTTTTTGAAGTGAAAATTTCTAATGAAATAAAACCCTTTGCACTACATCCAAAACATTTGAGCACAATGTTTTATTCATTTATAATCTAGATGGCAGCACTAGTTGTTGTCTCTGGTTAGTTTGGGACTGTTCGTCAGGCAAGTAAGAAGTAATAAAATATTTATCTAGATCACGTGGTAGTATTAATTAATATGTGTACCCATGACGAAAAGTGAAGTATATCAGAACATTTATGAAAATCTCTACATAGTGTAAAACAAAGTCGCTGCCCGCCGTCTGTACGCTTAAATCTTTTAAACTAGAAAGAAAGAAAGAAATAAACATTTATTGCAACACGCCATAAACATCATTAGACTTTTATTTAATATTCATAATTCGTAATTATTTATTTGCATAGAATGAAGGTAGTTATTACTAAAGTATTATTAAAACATAAAAGTTCCGATACATTCTGCCTTATCAAAGCGTGCAAATTTTGACTAAATAGTTACAGGTTGTAATACATTCTTTTTTACAATAATTGTTGATGAATTTTAGTTCACTAATATAAATAAAAATGTCGAATTATTAATAAAATAAATTTCAAAAGAATAATTACGAAATACAATGTCACACAATCGTTTACAAAAATATCAAAATACAAATGTTCACATGTAAAAATAGTAAAAATAACCAACTACTAATTATTCTATCGAAGTCTTATTTTATTTACTCACAGCAAAAAATTCAAGCAATTTAGATACAGATATTTAAATATGGAATTTGTTTTGATTTTGATGATCAATATACTCATTAACGCTATAAAATAAATTAAGTTAGAGCCGTTCATGAAGTTTGTTTTTTAAAGAATAAAAGATTTTAATCGCCATTATGTACGAATTTTTTGAAAAAACCAATATTTACATTTTGGAAGGTAAATTCTATTATTAGATTTTTCCCTTAAACTTCTATTTCTTAAAAATATATTACTTGGGAAGTATTCAGAGAATTGCTTGACATGCGAGTGGTATGTGCTCCACAGATTGCTCGAATGCATTTTTCTTGGATTCTAAATACGTGTTCTATTTCAGAACATTTGCCCCATATCAGAAATTCGTTCTACAATATTGATGAAACATAGCCATGATAGACGTTTAACGCTGCTTTGACAGATGCTATCTCTCTAAGTTGGCGAAGCGCAAATACAAATCTGTTTAATTTATCAGATATCGATTAACATGCATTTTCCAATTACAATTATTGTCAATAGTGATATTACATAACCAACTTCTTGTAGCACTTTTTCATTATACTTTATATTTAATATAATTAATAGAATCAGGCGTTACTTTGCGGAAATCCATTATATAAAAGCTTTTAGAAAAATTTTATAATGCGGATATTTGCGAAGTAAATTTTTTTAAAAACTTTTACTTTATATTTTAATTATTTTAGTTTTAGAAATTGCATTATTTTAGTTTTATTTATATTTACATTTTAATGTACATATGATATCAAATTCAAAAAGCCTTTTGTTCGTACATTTATGAATGATCGATGTGTCATCAGTGAAAAGAATCGTTTTATTAGAAGTTATTGTTGGTAGCTCATTAGTTTTAATATTAGAAAAAGTAGAGGACCCAGAATATGTCCTTGAGTTACACCATATTTGTTTAACCTATATTCAGACAGGATATACACTTTTATAAGGCTTTTGAGCTTTGCTATTTCGGTGTATTGTTGTCTTTGACCCAGGTAACTTTTAAACCATTCATTTGCTTTCCCACGTATTGCGTATCTTTCGAGTTTATTGAGAAGTATTCCATGATGAACAAAGTTAAATTCTTTAGTCAAATCCAAAAAAAGAGCTATCACCGGTGAACCGTCATTAATGCATTCTGTAATCAACTTAACGAGTTGGAAGGTCGCTAATGTTGTGGATTTATTTTTTACAAAATCATTTTGTGCGTTATTAATTATATAAAATTTTCCATAAAATTATTATGTCTCATTAGTATTTCTTTTAAAAAACTTTTGTTAAAAGCAACAGGTCTGATATTATTAATATCAGACCTGTTGCAGTAGTAGTTAGCCCTTTTTGATGACGGGTTTTAGAATTGAGTACTTGAGATCTGCAGAAAAAATTCTTTGGGTAAAATATAAGTTTATAATATGACTATGTATGGGTGCTATATTTATAGAACTTAGTTTAAATATTTTTGTCGGTAACTGATCATACCCCACCGAATTAGTGTTTCGAATCGATAATATAATTTGATTAATTTCATCAGGACTCATGGATCGTAAGAACATAGTAGGGTTACAGAATTGTTTACACATACAATTATTCGACATATTCAGTTTCTCTTTTTTTGTCGAATCTATGAAAAAAATTATTAAACCTACTTGCAATGTCACATTATTCTACCAGGGTTCTTCCATTGTGAGTTATGGTGTCTATTTCTCTACTAGTTCTTCTATTAGTTATATTTGTTTTTATGACATGAGATTTAGTTTTACCTTTATTATTTGAGCCTAAGATATATTTTTCATTTTGCATTTTTTGTGTCTTTAAAATACATTTCCTAAGAATTTTGGTGTAACTAATATATGGGCGTTTCTCTGTAAACTGAGCGACTCATTGTCTCAGGCCAATATTTATATATAAAAATTACGTGTCACGTTGTTTGTCCGCGATGGACTCCTAACTACTGAACTGATTTCAATGAAATTTTGCACACTTTGTGCATTTTGGTCCAACTTGAGAGATAGGATAGTTTTTATCCCGCTACATGACCCTCAAAATTTTTTATTGCCAATTTAAGGATTTTTATAACAAGGATCGTCGGAAAGGGCAGAATAACGTCTGCCTGGTGAGCTAGTATTATATAAAAAGTACAGATTCTTATATATTTCGTAGATAACTTTAAAAGATAACCTAATCTACCTCTGCTCAGCGTTCAATATCCATTAAAATATACATTCTTGTATCAAAAACGTTTTTAAAGTCGTCAGAAAATAGTCCCCTGACGTGTCACCAAAGTGGTATCGTCACTTCAGATTAAATTATTTTGACAATAACTATAGGAATTAATCAAATTGTTTTATTATTCAAACAATATCAAATCATTGTTCATTAGATCTGCTTATTTTTTATAAATATTATTTTATAATACTAAAAAAGTTTCTTAAAGTTTGTCTCCGCATTTTGTAAACAGTTCCGCTGTCTATATTTTAAATTACGTGACACGAATCTAAAGGTTAAACAATTACATTGCTGCTTGTAACAAAACGCAAATGATCTGAAATTTGCACGGTTGTCATTATTAGTACCCTAACAAAATTTTATTCAGTGCTGCACGAGCATCCCTCCGTGGAACTCACGTTGTAACCTGACCGCCAACAGTCCCATGGTAAGGATTATTTTTATTTATTTTTAATGTACTATATTTAAATCTTAGAAACTTTATATTATTATAATAGATAAATATTATATGTGCATAGTAAAATTACTTGACTCGTTTACATTTGGTACTACTTTTCAATTAAATCAAATTAAGCATCCCCTGGTAACAGTCCTCTGCCCCTCAACAAGACAATGGACTATTTTCGTCTCCAGGAGACCGTCTTAATACCATGTTTATCACTGTTTTAGGTAAAAGTGTGTTTTGAGTATGGTGCTACAGAGGAGATTTTAAAAAGAAAAAAAGAAGCCGAGTAAAGATAGAAGCGTATTAAAAAGACTCGCAGATAAGGAAGGAACTTAGAAAGAAAGACCACCTTAAATACCTCAAAAACAAAGAAAAGGGAATTAGGAAGGTTAATAAGAATATGACATAACGAAAACACTGGGAAGCAAAGAAGAAGTGGAAAGAGTCCTGTCTCCTGAAAACGAAAGTATAATAAATAAGAAAAAGAAATACAAGAAACGCCTATCGCGATTAAAAAAAAGCAAATACGAGTAGATAGCCTAAAAATACATCCTTCTTTCTTTCCTTCCTTGCTTACCATTTTGGCGGGTCGTGTACACTGATTAAGTCTACACACTACACACGGCACATTCTCAACGAATATTTTTCATTCTCCAGCTGCTATTTGAACTCATCTGAATCCAATTTTTAATGATTTGCTACCTCAAATTAAAAACCTACATATCTTGAACGATCACGATAGACCAATGACTCAATGTATAAACAAAACCACTATGGCGACAAAAATACTAAAACAACATCCACATATACCAAAGTTTGCCTAGAACCACACGGAGAGTGGCCATTGCTGTAAAGGTGCACTGAACGGTGCTGGAGCTAGCTGCAAATGCCGTGGTTGCTGCTGGAGGCGATTTTGGAAATCTAGAGATTGTAGAAAGCATTGAACAGGTATGTTCTGCCATTAAAGTACTATTTTAATTCCCGATATGTCGGCTGCTTTACGGCTACCCATGGTCACGAGGGGGGGGGGGAGCACTGAAATGTGACGTTCCGATGTCACTCTGCGTAAATCGACTAAAGATATCTATCTACAGAAAATCGAGCAAAACTGAAGATACAGATCCAGCCAGAATTCCAGCCGCTCAATTTTACCATTGCACGTCGATACAAAACTCGCAATACCATTCATACCACTTGGACGATTGGCGGTCTACCACTGTGCGATTTAGAAAAAGTTTTTTTCCTTGCACAACTTCATTTTCGATTCGATCTCTATTCGATTCCAATTACCACCAGCGATTTTTCCGGAGCGATACGACTTAGGGACCTTCAAGAAAAGAGCCTACTCCTTTTTAAAATCCGACAACGCATCTGCAATTCCCCTGGTGATGCAGTTGATCATGAGCGGCGGTAGTCACTTACCATCAGGTGAGCCGCATGCTCGTTTACCCCCTAACCTATATAAAAAGAAAAAGAAAAAATAGTACTGTCTGTGGCGATGGCCCGGTCCCAATAGAGCCTGGCGCGGTCATTATTATTATTATTAAGTGGTATCTAT